CCCCACCATTGCAATCTCCTTACTACAGGAGGAAATGGAGATGTTAATTCATTCGACCACTAATCGAGCGTGCGTGTGTGTGTGTGTGCGTGTGCATGTGCGTGTGTGTGTGCGTGGGGGGGGCGGGGCGGGGCACAGGTTGTGCAGCATGATAGAAGCAGTCAAGGCTGCATGAATGCTTGGCATTCACACATTCTCCCTAAAGCTTCTTGCAAGGTGGCTAGGAACAGAAATCCCACTCAGCCCATCTTTGTTTGGAGGGCTGCGGCGATTATAGATAGCAACTGGCCTGCCCAGTTTCTCTCAAGTCTTCCTGTTCTTTTAGTGAAACCTGGCAGTATTCTAGAAGTCAATCAACAGACAGACTCTTGGTTCAATTTCCTGGGTAGGCAATAGTTGAAAACCACTTGGTCCATTTGCAGAACCCAGTTCCTGGGCGCCCCCATGTGGCCAGATTGCATAAAAGGCACTTAAATGACTTTGTCACTTCCAAGACATGAGCTCCTTCAAAGGCAATAGTTAACGGCTGGGGCCATATTGTCAGGAAGCACCTATTTGGAAATCTGAAACAAATGCATACAGGTCTCCGACAATCAGCTTCTAAGAAAATGTAAGGAAGCACTTAAATTCTGAGCACAGAGGTGGGGGATGAAGGGTGCGGGGGGTGAGGGGGGCACACAGCTGTAAGTTAGATAATACATCAGGAAGGCTGTGTGTGACATCCTGTCAGACAGCGTGACCTCTATCCTGGTTTCTGTTAAATCATGTGGTTCACTTCTCCCTGGCAAGTAAGAGGCCCCAGGGTACAGAGGAGCGAGGGGTAGCTTTATGGGTGGCCATACAGAAGCCAAAAAAAAAAAAAGGTCTAACCTCTGGAGAAGTGGTCCCTGGCCCAGTGTCTCTGCCTCCACTAAAGACAATAATCAGTGTTTGGAAGTTGCTGGCTGACAGTTTTCCCCCTTGTTGCTAACTAACAGGCAGTCATTTTCAGGGGCCCATGCGGCTCCACTATCCGTAAACACAGTCCTGACCAGGGACAAACCCGACTCTACACACTGCCAAACTGCTTACTTAAGGGCTCTGAGGAGAACATGGAGGGGTGGTGAAAGCCGAGCTCGCCAGCAGCCTATCCCTAATCTTGGGGTTTGCACCGTGGGAAAGTGGGTAACGGCTGTCCTTTCCCTCCTTCCTCACTGGCAGGCCGGGAGGGATTTTCCCCCCATTTGTGTTAACTACCACGCGGCTGACCCTCCACCTCTGCAATGCTGGAAGTGGAACACAAGGCCTGGTTTGTGCTGGGCCAGTACTGTTCCTCAGAGCTACACCTCAAGCCTGCTTTTATTGCTTCAGGCCCGAGACCAGCCTGGAGCTACCGGACAGAAGAGACCACACCTGCATGTCCTGGATGTGGACACCTAAGCTTCTTCTGGATCTTTGAGGGGAGCCAGAAGGGTACTGTCTGGACGTTTTAAATCTAATGAGACCCCCCACACTGCCCTGGGGGGTCTGGACTGCCCCCCGCCCCAGTGTATCTGTGTATCTGGACTGTTTGCATAGTGCTTGGGGGTAGTGGGGGGAGAGAGAGAGAGAGACAGAGAGAGACAGAGAGAGACAGAGACAGAGAGAGAGAGAGAGAGAGAGAGAGAGAGAGAGAGAGAGACCTGTGTTCACTGAGCGCGCTACAAATAAAAACAGTAAGAGTACTCTCTGGCTTTCTCTTTCCCCACCCATGATTTGGCAGCTCTTTTGGTTTGTGGCTCCTTCCCGAGAGGAAGAATCCAAGAGTGGCCTCGGGCAGCCGGGAACAACTGTTCCTTTGAATTCTTTTATGAATATCAGGCAAACAGTTTCTGTCAGCAGGAACTGGAAGGCGTCATTGAGAATGTGCATGCGCATGTGTGCACATGAGTGTGTGTGCACTTGCATTTGTGTGTGTGTGTGTGTGTGTGTGTAACTTGCACGCACAATGCCGGACAGTTCATCTCACTAGCTCCATTCTCAGAAAAGGCACGTCTTCTTGGCAAGGGAGAGGAGACACTTCCCTGAGCACCTACAAATAAATCAGCGAATCATTAAATGACTCATGGTGACACCCGGGCACCTTTGTCCCTCTCCTCCCACACTTCTTAATTTTGTTTTCTTTGGGGACAGTATTCCAAAATGTTTTGCTGCCTGTCAGGTTTGCCTCTCACTCCACCTGCCAGAGCTCGGTTGGGTTCTGTGGGGCCGAACTTTTAGCTTCTTACCCCTCTGAGTCCCATGGGCTTTCTGTGGGAATTTAGGGAGTGCTTTGCTCTTTCTCCCACGACAGTAGCGTGAGGTGGGGCAGTTAGTGAACGCTGCATCAGAGACAGGATTGCAACTGAAAACATACAACTTTCGCACGAAGCACAAAACTTGCTTCTTAAACTACAGCTGGGTTTAAGGTCCCTACAATAAACCATTGAGTTTGTGGCTTAAATTTCCTGGCCTTCACAAAAGCAAAACCACAATTTCATTAGCAGCGCACTCTTCTTCAGCCTGGGAGTGGGGAGGAACCAGGAATAAAAACCCAGGAGGGGTTTTGCAGAGCTTCCCTCGGAGAGCCCCTCCCCCACCCCAACCTGTGTTTGGCTTCCAGGAAGCGGGAGGGTGCTATTGCCTGGTGGCCCGAGTCAGTCACTCCCTACTGCCTCCCTATCCTGCCTGGAAGCAACTCTCATCTGAGCCTAAGGCGCCAGTACCCTGTAAGGTGAAACTGGCCAACTTCCTCTACAGCTTGCGCTGGTCTAGAGGCTGGCAAAAGGTCACAGCAGGCATTACCCCCAGGGCTTTGCAGACAAAGGAACTGACAGCTGGCTGGTCTCATTGGTGGCGACTCAGAGGGACTGGGTAGTGTGGCCACTTCCCCCACTCTTCCAGTTTTCCCAAGGTGCTTTTAGCACCCTTCGACCCCGCCTCCCCATTCTTTCCAGCAAAACCTTCTAGCGTGGTATCGCACAGGACATGGGTGCTCTGAATCTAGTAAGGAACAGACAGTGATTTCCAAATCAGGTCCTGAGGACCCAGGAAGCAAGTTTAGCTTAAAGGAACCCACTTCTGGTCTGTATTTGAAACCTGGAATCCAGTCAGCATGCTGGCAGGCCACAGACCATCCTGTCTTATTTCCTCCACATCTGGGGGGCCTCACAGTCACGGCTGTTCTTTGGATACATTTACCCATTTTCCAGACTGTTCTAGGTGTGGCTCCGGTGCTCGTGTCCATGCTAGGACAAGATATTCAATATTTATTTCTGACTCCTGTGAGATATTTTGAATGTGTAGTGTGTGTGTGCATATGTATAAAACCTGCCTCCTGTGTGTGTGTGTGTAAATTTGCCAGTCTGGCAAGAATGAATATATTCTAAAGGGACACCTGTGATCCTCTTTGACCATCAGACTATGGAAACAACCAACCTCAAGAAGTTAAAATTTACCCAGGAGTCCCCAGGAGGAGAAGGAAAAGGCTGAAGCCCTGGGGGGAGGAGGGGCTGGAGGAGGTGTTTGTTTACTGGAGAAAGCCTTACAGCTTATAAGAGAGGCTTGGAGCTGAGACAGAGGTGGGCAGGAACCCACCCCTGGGCTGGACCGTGTGACTGGTTTTTACCATTAATTTGGCTCTTTTAATTGGCTTATGAGGGACTGGTGGTCAAACCTGGTTTGCTGGGGCGGAGGCTGTGAACTTAAGTTCAGTCATATGTGCACCCCAATCTATTCCTGTCTATACAAGTTTGTATTATGTATGAGCGTTCACGTACACAGAGTTGTGTGTGAAGGTATATCTGAACATATGTGTGGGCATCCGTAGCAGACACTGTTTTTCAGCTGCTTAGGAAGGAAGACACAGCCCTTCCAGAGAGCCTCAGCCAGCTGCATTTGAAATTTAGAATCAAAAGCTTTTCTAAAATGTAATATTTTTTTATTAAATTAGGAAAAGAAAGGTACAATACAGATGACTATCAGTCAATCACACGCTACTTTGCAATTCCATCTTAATGGACTCACAGTCCAATTCAGTTCTCTGTACAAGAATTAAAAAAAAAACACCTCAAGTATTTGCATAATCTGTCAATTTTTATTAACTGGGTTAGGGGAAGGTTTTTATCAGAGCACATTATGAAAACATTAGGACATTACAGACAGGCATGAGATAAGCGTCAGACAGAACAGATGAAGCAAGTCCCTCAGCCATCTGAGAAACATTAATAATGAAATATTGCAGAAACAAATCTTTGTTAGGGGTACCAGATGCAGAGGGGAAAGCGGAGGTCTTGGCGCCCCCTTGTGTTGCAAAATGAACCTGCAACTTTAATTTCATTTTGCTGTTTTGCTTTTGAAGTTGGTAACTCAAGCCCTTGTCCCTGTGCTTCAGAAGTAATTGATCCCCCAAATCACTGCAAGCCCTCTCCAGAAAATCGCTTCCCCTTCACCGATAACTTTCAAGGACCCTGTTTGAAAACTAACTCTTGCCCACTCTTCTTTATAGCCCACAGATTCCATTCCAAAAGTTCGCAGATGCCCAGTGTAGAGCCTGCCCTGAGTCCCTCCTTCCCCCAAGTGTGAAATGAAATAAACAAGTCTTCCCTTCCCCTCTTCAGGCTTTGAGGATGTGGCAACACTGGCTACAAAGCTGGATATTCTTTGTCTCATAAGCACTTTTCTTCTGCACCTGACTGGAGACCTGCCATTTTTCATAACTTAACACAAATGCCTTTATCTACCTACTCCCTCCCACACCTGGCACACACCAGCTCCCCTAGGATCAACTGGTCAACCTGCTAACCCATTTTTACACTTATATGCCAGGAAAGACTGGACCAGAGACATAAATAATACACCTCGATCTACAACAATTCAGGCTGAAGTTGTAGGAAGAATTTCACTGGCTGGCCAGAAGAAGAAAACACATATATATATACACAGCGTGGGTCTGGGCAAGAGATGGGGTGGGAGGAGACCCCGGTGGGAACTGGGTGATTTGTTTACTTGGATTTTCCGACTGGTCCGATGGATACAGGGTCCGTTTGTACTTGAGCATCCAACATCCGCTTTGGTCCCTGGAGAAAAACATAAAGTAGCCAGTATGAGACCAACAGCAGCAAGGGATACTTACCACATACTTATTCTGAGCTTGGTTGGTCCTGTGCTATGTAAATATGCCCTGTTCATGGACAGATGTCTAGCTTCAATACCTAGTGACATTGCTTCCTGGGTTTGTGAAATTTTAGACGCGTCATGATTTGATTTTAAAATGGGAGTGCTCAAAACCATCTCAGAGGGGTGCTCCCAGATGTGCTCAAACTGTGACACACGTAAACAGTCCTGGGGGTCATGGGTCAGGGTTCAGGGGTCGGAGTGGAGGTGGGGACTTGCTATTCTAGTTCATTCTACATCTCTAGCCACTGTCTATAGCTCATTCTTTCAGAGTCTAACAAAATGGTGCCCTGATTTGTTCCCCAGTGCTATCTGAAGTGACCTTCTCTTTTATCTGCCATCTTCCTCCTCTGTGGGATCAGTCTGCTGCCTCCTCAGGGGCCATGTGAGTGCCCGGCATCTGAAGGTTTCACCTTACTACTGTCCCAGTGTGGCAGGTGGATGCGTGCACGTGCTGTTATGACTGTACTATTGTACTTTTGCCATTTCTGTTAAGTGTGACGTAGACATAGTCAAACCAGCCCTTCCTGCATATAGCAGTTCTACGAGCTGAGACTAATACAAATGGTTGTGTTAGAACCACCTAAATCAAAATATGTACCTCCCTTGTCTCTGCTCATCTCTCAACTAACAGATGTACTTACAAACCTCTGTGATGTCTCATTTTTCCATATTCTACAGGTTTGCTTTTTCTAGGATCCTCTTGGTGTGTGTTTCTTTTATTTTCCAGGTAGCATCACACTGGGTAGCCTTGGCTGTCCTGGAACTCACTATTTAACCCAGGTTGGCCCTGAATTCACAGCAATCCTCTGGAGAGTTAGGATTATAAACCTGCACCAGTATGCCAAGATTTTCCAGGATTTCATATCAAGGAGCAATAGAACCCCCAGCCTCTGAATACAACTTCTTTCCTGGGTTGAAATTCATACATGTCACATGGATCAGAAGTACTGTTACCGGTGGCTCTTTTTGCAACCTTACAAATAGAACCTTAAAACACAGGATTGTGCACACAGCACAATAAAGGAACACACAGCACAGTTGAGTACTATAATGTAGTAAGTTATACGTAGCATAAAGGGTATAGTATACTATAGAGGGCATATGTATAACTATATAATCACTATATATAACATATAGTATATGTTATATAACATATACATACTATCTGCCATGGTCTAGTGTAGGAAATATGACAGTATAATTTTGATCGTGTGTGTGTGTGTGTGTGTGTGTGCGTGCCATGCATGTGTATTCACATGGCCACATGTATATGGCACACATGTGAAGGCCATGTGAAGGCCACAGGTGTCTTCCCCAATTCCTCTGACAGTGACAGAGGCAGGGTCTCTCACTTGAACCAAGAGCACACCGATCTGATTAGTCTAGCTACCATCTTGCTCCCGAGATGCCCTGCCTCTGCTTCCTTATGTGCTGGGATTACAAGACCATGGCCACACCCTCTGGCATCTACATTGGTCTTGGGGATCCCAACTCTGATAATTTTATGAGATGGTTGGAACAAATCTGATTATCTTGGCCACTCTGCCTAAAACTGCAACAGCAAAAGGAATTCTTCTGCCCCCGTCAGTCCCAGTTGCTCATTCAGTGAAGAAGTAATTCAACTGAGCATCTACATCCCTGACAGATTAAAGAGGTAGGAGACCATCAGCCTAAGGCTGGCTCTTTAAGGTCTTATGTCACAAAGTACTGTGTGACTGAGTGGCTATAGTACACTAAAACCTAACAGAAGAGTATATTTCATGTAGGAAATAGCTAGGCTTCAGCCAATCACAAACAGTCTAGCTTTGGCCAATCAGAAGCTGGCAATTTATCATACCATGCCCATATAAGGTAAATGGAACATCACAGCACTCTGACACCAATCAGCAGCTACTTTTGTATCTGTATCCAGCCTGTAAGCTAGTGCCTCATAGTGACTCTAGCATCTTCTTCTGGTTCAGAGCTCTGCCAGATCCAAGATGGGCCCTCCCTCAAATATTCCATATTAAATCTGTTGAGTTTTTCTTTTAGCCCTCAATAATGATAAGGTACAAATGGGTATGTGCTGGTTAGTTCTTGTTAAGTTGACAACCAGAGTCATCAGGGTAGAAGGAGCATCATTTGAGAAATTGCCTCCATAAGACTGGGCAGTAGGCAGCTGGGCAGTGGTGGTACATGCCTTTAATCCCAGCACTTGGGAGGCAGAGGCAGGCCAGCCTGGTCTACAGAGTGAGTTCCAGGACAGCCAGAGCTACACAGAGAAACCCTGACTCAAAAAAACAAAAAACAAAACAAACAAACAAACAAAAAAGACTGGGCAGTAGGCAAGCCTATGGGGACATTTTCTTGACTGCTGATTGCTGTGAGTGGGCCCAGCCCACTGTGGGTGGTGCCATCCCCTGCGCTGGTGGTCCTAGGTTGTGTAAGAAAGCAGGCTGAGCAAGCCATAGCAAGCAAGCCATTTATGCAACGTTCCTCCATGTTCCTTCAGTTCCTGCTCTCAAGTTCTTGCCCTGACTTCCCTCTATGATGAACTAAAAACTGAAAAAGAAAAAAACCAAGCAAACAAACCCTTTCTTCCTCAGGTTGCTTTTGGTCATGGTGTTTATCATAGCAATAGAAAGCAAACTGAAGTAGAACTGCAGCTGTTACCATGACCTCAATTTGGCAACGGGGGAAACTGAGGTACCAAGGGGTTGGGTTGAGTGACTCAGCCAAGGACATAGAGTTAGGAGGCAGCCACAGCAGGACTGCAGTCCAGCCGGGCGGAGTGGCTTGGAGCATAGGCACGTGGTCTTGCTCTACTCCCCAATGTCCCCGATGCTATTTAGATCCATCCTGCCCCTAATACCTGGCATCTTCGTCCTTCCTGCCTCTAACCTTGAGCTCCAGAACAGTCTTGCTCTCTGTGCCTAGAACAGTGCCTGGTACCCAGTAGGTACACACGAATCATTTGTTTGCCAGCTTTCTGGTGAGCTCCCACTTTGGAGTCGAATACCACAGCCCTTAACCAAGAACCGAGAAAGAAGCCACAAACACCCCATCTGCTTACCAGGCCCTTCAGAAAGCCCCCGAGGGACTGTCGCCGCTTCTCAGATCTCTTTGGGGTCTTGTCCCCAGTCTGCTGCGTGTTTGCCTCTACCGCAGGCTGCTGCTGCACACACGGCGCTGGTTCTCTGGCTTCTTGTTTGCCGTTCTTCTGCTTGTTGCTCTCAGCCGCTGTCTTCTTGTCCACCGATTTCTTGTCCTTCGAGGAGGTCTCCTTGCTTTTCTGGGCTGTTCCCACGGGCTCTGGCTCTGGGGGAGAGGGCGTCTTCTCCGTGGAGTTTGATGTCTACAGCAATATCAAACAAAGCTCCTGTTTAGTGTCTGAAAGATGATTCTTTTTTTTTTCTTTTTAAAGACTTTCCTTTTTTTTAATTTTTATTTATTTATTATATGTAAGTACACTGTAGCTGTCTTCAGACACCCCACAAGAGGGCATCAGATATCATTACTGATGGTTGTGAGCCACCATGTGGTTGCTGGGATTTGAACTCATGACCTCTGGGAGAGCAGTCAGTGCTCTTAACCACTGAGCCATCTCACCAGCCCTGAAAGATGATTCTTAAAAGCAGAAGAGTAAATGTGTTAAAACAGAGATGCTCAGATGTTGGAAATAAGTTGGGGTAAAACGTGGGGGAAAAAAAAGAAATCAAGGTCGTGCGTAACAGGTGCCATTGATTTATCTATTTATCTTGCAATAACCCATTACTCATCTATGCTTTTCCTGCAAGAGCTCTCTCTGTTCTTTGGCAAACTACATACATAACTTGGGCTGACCTACTTAACCCCCCAGAGCCTCAGTTTCTCCATCTGTAAACTGAGGCAGTAATAACAGCTACCCCATGACACCTAGACAAATTAATCCTACTCCAGGTGTGTGGTCCCAGCCTGGCCAGTGTCAACAGTGTACATGATGGGACATGTATAGCTCTGAATGGTTCAGGATAGCTGAAGACAGCTCTGATTGGTTCAGTATAACTGGAGACAGCTGATTGGTTCAGGATAGCTGAAGCTATTGCTGATTGGTTCGGGATAAGCCGTTGATCTGATAGTCGAGCTTTGCTAGACATAATTGAGAGGCCTGGCTTCAGTTCCATCAGATTTGAAGCTATGAAAATATAAACCTGGGCCTTTAAGACTTTGTTTCAAGAGAAAAACTATGCTTGGACAGGACGTCGACACAGAAAAAATCAGAGCTGAGAATGTGCAACAGAAATCTGTTTGGACGGCTGCGCATGGGCCTTGGGCGTGAAAGCCTAGGTCGGTGTTGAGTGAGTATCCCATAATTAGCACAAGTGACTTATTTCTTGAGGGTGCTCAGTTTGTGATTCATAATCACATATGCCTTATATTTTTATGTGAAACTGTTCTTCTATTTCATGAAATGGTAGTTTCAAAAAAAACCCCCATATTTTTAGTTTTGAATGGATATCTTTCAATACCAAAATGAGACACCCTAGAAGGTACAATGTAAAGGTTGTAAAAAAAACCCCAAAAAACAAAAAAAACAAAAAACAAAAACCCAAAACCAACCAACCAACCAACAAACAAAAAAACCCAGTCCTGGAAGATTCTGGAAAAACCATAGCTACATAGAGCCAAAAACCCAAATCTGGTAGGATGTAGAAATCTTTTTCTCATCATGTTTTTTGGACACAAATGTCCACCAGTACAGACAATATAAAAGCAGAAAAGGGAAAACAACCACAGTGAAATCTTATACCTCCCCTGTGTCCCCCCTCCCCATCCCTCCCCCTCCCTCAAAGGCTGTGAGCAAACTGAGGCCCAAGTAAGTTCTCTGGTGTCAGATGATCACAGGTCTTCGCAACTTTAGGTTTGATGCAAGGGAGTAGATGGAGAAATTTGAGAAACTCAGTGTCCCACGTGTCATCCATGGGCTAGAGGATGCTCAGCCAGATCCCAGCTGGGAGGCGTCATGTCTCTACATGGCTAGTGCCAGCTTCAACCTTGTGGTCTTTCTGGCTTGGCTCTGCCTCCCAAGTGCTGGGGTTAAAATTACGGGCCCGTGCGCCGACGTGGGGCTTCTGAGACCTTGTCAATGAACTCTTGTGAGATACAATCCATATCAGCTTTAAAACAGCAGCTCTGAAAGTCACAGTAAACCTTGTAAGTATAACTACTACCCCATGGGTACATTTGACCCCCTTGATACAGGTCTACAAACTCTGGTTCATGAAGTCCTGACCTGTACCCAGGCAGGAAGTCTGACTGAAGAGCTGCAGTGTTGAGGGAGAATAGAAGCTAGCGTTTTGCATCAGTGAAGGCTGCACAGCCCCGAGAAAGCAGCAGAAGACAAGTGGAGTGGCTGCTCTGAGCCCAAGCTCCTGGAAACTGCAGCTTCCCAGGAAGCAGATGCCCGTGGATGTAGCCAGCACCCTTCAAATTAGTCTGAAGAAACATCCCTAATCCTGTCATTTCCTAGCAGTGCTAAGACTTGAGGAGAATCTCTGAGTAGCATAGGAAGCCCAGAGCATCTGTCTTCTCTGGAGGAAGGGAGCCCCTACCACAGCATCCCTTGGACAGGTTAGGACCCTGTGCTGCTGTGCAAAGACCTGAACTTCCACAAGTGTGGAGGATGTCAGCATCTAGCAGTGAGGGACCCAAAAGCTCATTCTGGAGTCAGAGACCTGGCTTGAGTATATAGTTCTATCATGTCCTCGCTATGTGAACAGGCATGGAAGACTCTCTTCAGGACCTCTTCTGTGTTAAGTCACCTCAGGGTTAAAGTACCACATCTGGCTCCTGTGGAACGCCAGACACAGAGTAGAAATCAGCTTGGGCTTTCTTAGAGGGAGGCGGTTCCAGGACATGGAACTGACAGCTTGACAGGAAAGTCCCTGGCTAACAGGAGAGCTGGCCAGCCTCTTCCCACAAGAAACTGTGAGGCTCTGACTGTAGTGTGCAGATTAGGGAATGGGAAACAGTGAGCCAGAGCCACACACTAGGGGTGTGCACTATGGGCACACAGTAGGGGTGCACCGCTCACACTGCCTGGCTGCAGGGACTCTCCCTCCCTTCTCAGGAAAAACTCCATCTGGGTGCAGGGTTTTTCCTTGTCATCCTGCCCAGTCTCTTGTTAGGGTTTGGGATGCTGGCTACTGCATTTCAGTCGAGTCCTGGCTCTTGAGGATCTTGTTCTGTTCCCCCCTGAGCCCCACTTTTTGGAACACTGCTTTGATACCCTCTTTCTGCCTCCTTCCAGTGCCTCAGAGAACACCACAGCCATCCACTCTTTATCCAGTACTAGGGAGGAGTGGCCACAGGGGGCTTTTCTTAAAATGTGTGGAATGACGGGCCAGCAAGGCACACTCAGTGACCCTGAAGCCTTCCTAGAGCACTGTGAGTCAGGACTGGGCTGTACAAAGGACCGACAGTTGCCAGTAGGTTTCTGTGGGAGAACTTTGAGCAGGCCCTTGGGTGCTTCTTCCCCGCCATGCTTACATGTTCCTTTTAATGGTTTAAAAATGAATTCATGTACTTGTGCATATATGTATGTATATATTCATGTTTATATGTATTACTGTATAAGGATGTATCTGTGTATGCGTGATTAATGTATGTATGTATGTATGTATATACGCATGTTTATATGTATTACTGTATAAGGATGTATCTGTGTATGCGTGATGTATGTATGTATGTATGTATGTATGTATGTGTGTATGCATGTGTTGTTTATTTTCCTAGTGTATCCCTAGTTTCCTGGGCTGGAGACATGGCTTGGGTGTTAATAGCACCTGCTGCTCTTACAGAGGACCTGAGTTCAGCTCTTTAGACCCACACCAAGCACAGCCACCTCTAACTCCAGCTCCATGGGATGTGACACCCTCTTCTGACCTCCCCAAGCTCCTGTGTTCACATGATCATACCCACATGAAGACAAACACACGATTAAGAGACACATAATTCAAAATAAAATGAATCTAAAAGATAATCTGATTATTATTCTGATTTTTCTTTTTTCTGAGACAGGATTTCTATGTCGCTCTGTAAACCCGGCTGGCCTTGAACTCACAGAAATCCTCCTGCCTCTGCCTCCTGAGTGCTGAGATTAAAGGCGTGGGTCACCACTGCCCAGCTGTTATTCTAAGTTAGGCAGGTGAACTACGACTGAGCCACATCCGTACTTTACACCATCTGAAGCTTTAATGCAGGGGATGGATTGTTAAGTCGCCCAGGGTGCCCTTGAACTCACTCTCTCCCTCAGCCTGATCCTGAACTTTCAAATCCTCTTGCTTCAGCTCCTCAAGTCTGTGTCACCAAGCCTGGTTTAATCTGATTATTCACTTGAGAGCAAGCATGCCTTTGTTATTAAATACTGAAGCCTTGACTGTTCTACCTCGAGTCTGACTCTTTATCAGAATTCACACCAGAAATATTCACATGAGAACCAGCTAAGCAGGAAGTGGGGGAACATGGCTACTGGTGTGTCTCATTTTATTTGGACTCTGGAAGCCCCCCGAGGCTAGGAGTGCTTAGGCTTCTGCAAACACTCAAGAGAGGACAAACCTCAGAGGACAGGGTGTTTACTTCCCTTCTCCCCCTAAAACGAAACAAAGCCTCTGTCATCTCCCCAATGAGGACTTCTCAAAGGCAAGGTCTGAGGCCCTGGAAGATAGAGTTCTCAAATAGACTTTGAAGCCTCCAGATAAACAGGAGGTTTCCCGCTCACTCAGTGTCACGAACCTCACTGCTGTTTTAGAGCCACTAAGGTTATTGGTATGGCTGTCCCTCTGCAGGGTCCAGATGAACAAGACAGTCAACTGGATTTGTCCTTTAAACAAGTGTGTGTGTGTTTGCATGAGCACATGCATGCACCTCCATGCGTGTGTGGTGTGTATGTGTGTGCAGTATGTATAGTGTGTGTATGTGTGTGCGTGCATATGTGTGTACATGTGTGTGTAGTATGTGTAGTGTATGTGTGTGTGCTATGTGTGCATGTGTGTGTGTGTGTATAGTCATGCACGCACGTGTGTGTATGCACGTCAGAGGACACCTCTCTGAGTCCACTCTCCCCTTCCACCTTGTTGAGGCCGGTCTCTGTTGCTTTTGGGGCCTTTGCTTGTTTTTGTTTCTGTGCTGTGTACTCCAGGCTAGCTGGCCCATGAACTTCCAGATAATGTCTTTGCCTCTCATCTTTCCATAGGAGACCTGGGATTACAGATGTGTATACCCAGCTTTTTGTCTGGTCTGGGATTTGAACTCAGGTTGGCAGGCTGTCATGACCAGAATTTACCCACCGAGGGATCTCACTGGTCCGTATTTTCCTTTTTGTATAAAGCAAGTTTACTGTGTTTCCAAGGTAAACCTTTGAAAGTTTGGGCTCTAAAGTACCCAGTATTGTATGTAGATTTTGGGGGTCCAATATAGGTATAAAAAAAGAAGATAAATGGAAAATATCGTGTTTTTCTAATATATTAATAATATATGAAAATAGATGTAGTTTTCTAATTATTAATAGAAGTAGAAATCTAGAGTGTATTCTGTAGATTCATGAGGTATGAGCAGTACAATAGCATGGTTATTCCCTACCAACAGCTTAAGAATAATGACACGGGGCACCTGCAGTTGGGTGAATCATGCAACTCCAAGTCATCCCCTTTGTGGTTATGTTTGGAATAAAGTCATAATTCACGTTAAATGGGGTCATAGAGATGGAGCCGATTCCAAAGGCTTAGCGTCATTATAGGAAGAGCCACCAGGGGGCACTCTTCTACCCTCGTTCCTCCTCTTTCCTCCCGTTTCCCCCGCAAGGTGGAAGGCAGCCATTAGCACGCAAGGGAAAGAGCCTTCGGTAGAGACTAAACCACGCCGATACTTTGATTTTAGCCTCTCTAGCCAACAGAAGTTCGAGACAGACATTCCTGTGGTCTGAGTCACTCACTGTCTGGCGTTTCGCTGTGGCAGCCTGCACTGACATTGAATTATTTATTGAGCCTCCGTGCCGGGAATGTTCTTAGTGCCTTCCCAGTACTGATTCATCTAGGCAGGAGGCTCTATCGAGTCTGCGTCCCCTACACCCTCCTAGGTGAGGAAACTGAGGCACCGGGAGATTGGTAATCTTTCAAAACAACTATAGCAGAAGATCCACAAAAACAAACAAAAGAACTGCTTAAGCCAGGATCAGACCCAGGCCCTTTGAGTCTAAAAATACAGGGTTTTAAGCACTTCTTCGTATTATTAAAATTAATACAAGAGCTATGATATTTTTATAGAAGTATCCATTTAAATTAAAAGCAGTGCCAGATTATAAGATAGGGGGTTAGTAGATAATATTGAACAGCTAATTCCCCCTCCCCCAAGCCCCCGCCTCTCAAGTGCTGGGATCGCAGGTGTGTGCTATCACGCCTGGTCCTATGCAGTGCTGGGATGGAGGCCAGGGTTTGCATGTGTGAGGCAAGCCCTGTACTAAGAGAGCTGCAGGCCACCATGCAGCCCAGTGGTCCCATTTTTAAAGGAAGGAATCTGCAAGTCAAGTGTTCTGTTCATTGCTAATAGTAAAGAAAGTAAGGAAACGAGCATTGTTGAGTTAATAATCCTTCTCTGTGCCAGGCACCACAGAAGACGAGAGAAAACCAGAAACACCTGCTTGCTCCACAGTGTTCCAGACAGGGGCGAGAAGGACCAGGAGAGATAGAAGAATCATTTCAGTATCACGAAATGAGCACACACTATGACAGGGATGACGGAAGGGCACAGGAGCTCTTTGAAGAGGTGACATTTTTGCTAAAACTCAAAGGCTGGGAAGAAAACTTTCATATGGAGAGAGAAGAGCTGAGGACTCGCCTATACCATGTCCACAGAGCCCAGCGCTGCTGGGTATACAGTGGGTGCTTAATGGTTCACTGAGAACTGCATTGAGAACATCGAGGACACAAGGCTGAACCCGCCAGCAGGCTGAGTTGACAGTCACTTACTTGGCAGCTGGAGTCTTTCCCGTTACTTTCTTCCGAGCGGGTGATCCCTTGGCTCCCTCTCACTGACTACAACAACAAACAGACAGTATCCTTTCAGTTACCACAGCACAATGACGGTGCACAGGTGCGCGCACTTCTTCCAAAACCGACGACGACCCCCCTCCTTTATCCTTGACATATAGGATCAAGACAGGAGAAGAGCAGCTGGGAAGGGGTCCCTTGGAGAGCTGTGGCTGTTTGTGTCATCAGAGTCTGATGAATTCAAGTGTTAACTTCCCAAAGGAACAGCAAACAAGCAAACAAAAACAAATAAATAAAATAAAATTATATATGGGGTAAATAGACGTTTGTTCCTGTCTCCTGAGGAAAACACTCATAATCCCAGCGTTTAGGGGCTGAGGCAGCAGGACTATCAGATAGCCTAGGCTATCTTAAAAGAGATCTTTTTCTAGAAGGAGAAGGAAGAGAAGAAAGTAATGCTGGAAGGAGGAGATGGTTAGAGATATGAATGAATGAATGAACGAACGAATGAACGGGGCATTGATGCCACTTGCCTGTTAACTCTTTTGCTACTTTCAGCCAGTGGAGGAGTTAGGGAGCACCCACCCTCCATCCTTTAGCGCCCCCTAGAGCCAGTGGCTTCCTCAACAGGGCGGTATCTAGTAGAATCGGCATCTTCGATTCCTCCAAGCAGGTGAGCTGAGCTACTGGTTCCAAAGGCGTGGCCACAGGCCCAGAGGCACCAGACTCACCTGGGGACTTGATAGAGAGATGCACGTTCTTCACACCTACTTAGACACAGATCCACAGCCACCCGTGTTTAACAAGGCCCTCTAGGGGTTCTGAGCAGTGCTCTAACTAGCCATCCTCAGACTCAGACTCACCCTTGGCCCTGTGACTTTAACTGTGTGTGGTGCGAGCAAACTCCCACGTGACGTGAGGATGAGCGCTCATTGGTTAGCATCATCTCCTCCCAGCTGCTCAGGAAGCAGGGATTCCTGACTAACTGCACCGTTGTCGACTGGGATGTTCTCTTAGCAAACAGCATACACTCACAGCACTCGGCTAAGAACACTCAATCCTGAGAACATGAGAGGGCCCGGAGCTGGCTCGGTGGTTAAAGCATCTTCCATGCAGGCAGCAGGTGTGAGGACAGAGTTCAGACCCCAGGAAACTGGGTGGGCATGGCGGCCATTTGTGATCCCAGTGCACCGTAGGGAGGTAGGGACAGGATTCCTGGAGATCAGGCTACCTAGGCTTGTTGTATCTGAGAACTCCTAGTTCAACCAAGAGACCACGCCTTAACGTGTAAGGAAGACTCTCAACACCAGCCTCGGGCACATGTGCACATGTGCATGCACACACCCTCACGTGTACACCCATGTACAGACAAACACGTATATAAGCACACATACCAAACGTGCATGACAAAGAAAACCTTACAGGTGCTCAAATGCATTCTGAGGGTTTAGCATTACATGCTGTGCTTTAGTTGTCTGAGAGATGACAAATTGTCAGAGAGGTGAGTTCAAGGCTGACTCTGAGTGGCCTCTGACTGAGTGCAGGCACTGTGCAGAAAGAGAAAGAAGCGTCTGAATGATTCACACAGTGGAACCTGCACAGAGATGATCAGCATTTTACAAGCAAACAAAATGGAAGCTCAGAGACTCTAGGCGTGGCCGTGGAACTAGCCGGTTAGAGACGGGCACTGTGACCGTGGACAGTGACTCCAGGCTCCTTCCTTATCTAAGCCACCTCTGCATTCTACTGCCCCAAGGAGGGGCAGGCACCACTCAGTCAACTAGCGATGACTGAACATTTACTTGAAATTAGATTATTTGAATTAGATAAATTGAATAAATAAAGCAAACTAATCCGGGCTTGGAGAAGACAGGCTGACAAGCCTCACGTACAGCTGTCCGTGGGAGATGTCCACTCACAGGTGGGCACTGGCTTTCTTCAATGTGACTTGGCGTTGCTCTCCAGACAACAGAAGCACAGACTAGGACCATCAACAGTTTGGACAGAGTGTGGGATCGAGACATCTTTCGCTATTCCTAAAGCCATATCCCTAGGGCACCCTAAGTACAGGGTAGAGTCTTGGTGTGTCCTGACGGTTAGTAATATAGAGTAGGGTGCTGCCAAGCTCAGTGAACTTGCTTTTTTTTTTTTTTTTCGTTTTAGGACAGGATCTGTTGCATTGCCCAGGCAGGCCTTGCTTGAACTTGCCATTTCTCTGCCTTGGCCTGTAGCACTGTGGTGGTTTGAATAAGAACGGCCTCTATGGCTGATATAGTTGAATGGTTAGTCCTTAGGGAGTGAACTGTTTGAGAAAGGTGGGAAGGATTAGGAGGTATGGCCTTATTGGAAGAAGTATGTCACTGGGGATGGGCTTTGAGGTTTCAGAAGCACAAGCCAGGCCCAGTCAGCTTGTCTGTCTGTCTGTCTGTCTGTCTGTCTCTCTCCCTCCCTTCCTGCAGCCTGTGGATCAGGATCTCAGCTACCTCTCCAGCACCAGGCCTGCCTGTGTACCACCACCATGATCCCCACCATGATAATCACTAATCTTCTAACACACTGTAAGCCAGCTCCCGGTCAAGTGCTTCTCTTTGTGAGTTGCCTTGGTCACGGTGTCTCTTCACAGCAATGGAACCCTGACTATGACAGCCACAGTTCTTGGCTTCCATGCACTCTCCTTAGAGTGGGAGTCACCAAGGTTTCCAAATAAAGATCAGAGTGTCCTCTACATGGGACTGAGATCCTTGGGCCTGGAGAGCAGCTCTTCCTCTGGGTCTCCTGTGCTCTTCAAAGAGGCTTGAACTTGCTCGAGAATGCCGAGAAAAGGGAATGGACTCCTTCGGTTATTGCTGTCATCTGCTACTGTGTGATACTTTAGGATGTCACTCACCCTCCCCCCCCCCCGACCCCCCGGCTCAGACTGTGTAGAAAGAACCCCCTTGTACTCACCCACAACTCCAGCAAGGCCTTCAGAATATGGCTTCTGTCCACATCAGTTAGGCCCCGGAGACCATGTTATGTTTGTCTGTGCAGGTAAGTGGGGGGTGTTCCTGTGTGGCAGTGTTCATGTGTACGTGGAAGCCACAGGTCCACACGGAGTGACATTCCCCATGATGCATTTACCTCTCAAGCAGAGTCACTGAATCTGGAACTCACCGATTTAGTTAGGCTAGCTGACCAGTGAACCCCAGAGATCTGCCCGTTTCTGTTTCTTCGGTGTTGGGATTATAAGCACATGCCACCTGGCCTTTAAATATGGACTCCGGAAGTGGAATTTAGGTCCTCATACTTGGAAATCAAACAGTTTACCAAATGAGCCACTTATTTCTCCTCCCCCGCCCCCGAAAAAGTTCAGATGAAGAATGCAAACATGCTTGGTGACTTGTATGAGGATGTCTCCAGAGGCTCTGGCATTTGAACACTTGCCAGTTGGTGACACTATTTGGGGAAGCTTGGGAGGCGTGGCCTTGTTGGAGGAAGTCTGTTACCAGAGGCGGGCTTTGAGAGTTTAAAGGCTCTTCACCTTTGCTGTTTCTTTGCTTTCTCCTTTGAGGAGAGCTTACAGCTTCCGGTTCCAGCCCCACGCCTCTGCTTTGTCACCGTGCATTCTTATCTCTCTGGAAGTATAAACCCGAATAGACTTTCCTTTATAAGTTGCTTTGGTCACGGCGTTTTACCACAGCAATAGAAAAGCAAGCAACGCAGCATGATCGGAATAGCTTCTGAAGCCAGAACAGCAGTGGACATCAGGACTGGTCTTCTCTCAGCTTCTTGACAGTAATGTTCTTTTGTATCCTAAGAGAACCACTATCGAACCTGACTCTTCCTTATTTCAAGCTGGTGTTCCACAGACCCTTCTCCAGTTCAGGATTTGGGTCTTCTTCCTTTCCCTCCGTCTCTGTGATAGTCTTGGAGGAGAATTCGGTGGGATCGGAAACCATGCCCTGGAGTTCTGGAGAGCAGAACTCCAAGCCCCTGAAAAGATCATGCCAATTCCGTCCTTCTTAAGGAAAAGCAGGAGAATCCCCCCCCATCCTGTCGATGGCTTTTCTCCACCCATTTTGAGGCACACAAAGCCATACATACCCCAAGCTGACTGTCTGCTGGCTTCAGATAAAGATACTATCAAGTTCATCTGAGGTCACTTTCTTAATTATCCCTATCATGAGAAATAGTCCCTCCCACCCACTCTCCCTCACCCCACTCCTTTCTTCAAAGTCTGCACAACCCTGTTTCAGTGATAACTCAGATAATCCAGGTTGGACTTTACCACCCAAACAACCCTAACCACCAAGGCTTATTTTTACCAGCTGTCAAAAACAGTGGTTACTGTTTGAGGATACTAATATTCTTTCAGAGATGGCTTAGTGCCACGAAGAAAAGGTTAGAGGCTCAGAAGCAGTTTCTGAGATTTTCTACTGTCTGCCGAGTAACTTGTTTCATGTGTGGTTTTATTCATTAGACTCAAAGGTGAACCATTTCAGCCTGCGGTTTAGACTCGGCTGTGGAGTCTTGAGCCTTGCATGTTAATGACGCTGGTTTTTATTGCTTGCATGGTGCCATGCATTTTGATGACTTGATATTCTGAGGAGTATTGGAGCCGCTTCCAACAGGGGTCGTTCAGAGGGTCAGCATTTGAATGGGAACATTTGGTGATCTGATCAGTTCATGGATCGTTTGGAAAGGAATGCAAATGGATTTTGACCCTTCAGCCAAAGCTGACAGTTAAAAGATGTGGTGGTGCAAGCCTTTGATTCCAGCGCTGGGGAGACAGGGACATGGTGGATGTGTTAGTCAGGGTTCTCCAGAGTCACAGAACTTATAGAGTGAACATCTTTCTCTCCATATATATGTATATGTATATATATATATATATATATATATATATATATATCTCCAGCTAATCCAACAATGTCTGCCTGTGAATGGAAAGTCCTGGAATCCAGTAGTTGTTCGGTCCACAAGGCTGGATGTCTCAGCCTGTCTTCAGTATATGCTGGAATCCCAGAGAAGTAGGTTCTGATGCCAGTGAAGGAATGGACTTGCTA